TTTCCAGTAGAATACTGACCAATAAGCAAAACCATAGGCTTCGACTCGAAGTCGCTTTTTTCAAGTGGAGGTGAGTGGAAATCATGGAATTTGTACAAAGTTTCGAGTGGAAGAAGTTTTTTAAAGTACAATTTGCTAAGCCCGTCAATCACATTGGCATAAACCTCTTGATCCTTCGGCCTGGAATTCTTTAAAGCGCTTAACATCGCGGAATTTAAATGGTGATCGTACTCCAGAGAGCCTCAAGGTTGTCATTCAGTGCACAAAAACCAAACCACAATTAGATACCTATCTTGATAAAACACAATTAGCCACTGGGTCTCACTAATGGGATTCGTTAACGCTATGTACTGGCGCTTGATCCTGTGTCAAGTTAAGGGCTATTCTAAACTTATGTTTGAACTGTATAGTCAGTTACTAAGTTAAGTCCACATAACTTATTCCAGCTTCTGAACAGGTAAATTTACCCATTCTTCTTGAGTCACGCGTTGAACTTATTAGTTATTCACCTATCAACCCTGAATGTATTTATATAAGTGCATGAGTGTGTACGTCTCATCCTACTCATCACATGTCTGTAGCTTATTTTTGTGCGACTATAAATATTGATTAACGCTTGATAAAAAAGATAAAGTTGGCTAATATAATTTTTCCACGGCGCGTCGTTTTGCTTCTCTTCCTTTTCTTTGCCACCTTCGCTCCGTCCCTCTGACTGTCTGTCCAGACCAATGAGTGTAGAAAATATATATATTCAAAAAGCTATTCCCGTATTTGGGTTATATAATTCCGTTATTCACTAACAACATTTAGGTCGACGATTATGTGCGGGAATTGGCAATGTATATTTCAATAACGATAATCATGAGATTTAAGTGGAATCGGATTTCGTGCAATCGAAGTGGTGAGCCCGTCGGTAACATCGTCCGACCTAAATAACATCAAAATGAAGGCCACAGTAAAGAAAACCACCAAGATCACAGGAAACCCTAAAAGAATAAAGTCATTATAAGATATGGTGAGTACCAATAATTTCCACAAATTACACAAAATAGGACAGAAAATGAATCTCTAATGTGTACAGTGTAGATAGATAACTAATTTGATAGATAGATGGTATTTACTTCATTCAATATTGTGTGTTTAGTGCAACAAGATATTCTCAAGATATATAGCGTAATGGTAGACAAGTATTGCCTGAAAGTGTCGTGAAAATGACCTTCACAATATTCATCGAACTTCCATGACTCAGTGTGCGTTCCATAGTCAGTATAAATCTTTTTGAACGTATCAAATGCGGTTTGCAAAGGTAGAAATAAAAAGTCATCGTAAATGAGAAACTTTAAATTTTTGAAGCGACTGAGGATATTCGAGGTTGGGATTTAAACGGATGTGAAGGACGAGTTGTCAGACGAAACTGGCTGACAGTTATAATAGTCGCCTAATGAAGATACGAGATATTTTGAGGAGAAAAATGATCAGGCGTATCTTGCTCTGAATAAACTACTGGACTAAGGTTCATTTAAATATTTGTAGTGACTCACGTTTATCACGAGAACACGACTGGTTTAATAAAAACGCTTATTATTATAACCAAGTGTACCAGTGACTGTTTTAATGTGCTTTTGTTTAACTGTGCTAATGACAACTATTTTGTGCTTCCATTCTTATACTTACACTTTGATTGTAACTTCGCGCGAATTCGGTTACGTTCTGTAACCAAGCTTGTATCCTGGCACGATCTCGGTATCCTTTCGATGCCACGAGATCGCCAGCAAATAAACATCGACTTGGTCCATTAATTGCCTTCTGGTATTCGGCTTCTCGGGGATTTTATGGAGTCATTTGGAACGAGCTTCTTACGCCTTCTGATCTAATTGGCACGTGTTTCTTGTTAGCGGTGTTCATAGTTAATCTCAACTCGACGCCACGCTACAATTGGTAATCCCAATTCGTCTACATATTCTCCATTCGAATGACAGAATACGTACATTTCAGACAAGAACAACGGTCATACCAAAAGCGAACTGAAGAAAAACCGCTTTTGAAAATCTACACATAACTTAGGGTTACGAAGACTCAGCCCCAAAACTAATAATGTACAGTAAATTCAATCATGTTAGTGCTTTTTTAGCGAGTTAAGTTGGTGAAGACGTCAGTTGAGCGCAGTCGAGTGGAAACAGGCTTAAATGAACGGATAGTGTTTTGAAGCCTAGCCATGTAAGAGTTTAAACCCAAAATCATTGAAAAAGATGAAGGAGTGTCATTCCGTAGATGACTTGTGCTGCAGTGTATCAAACGCCGGTTTTTACTTCTTTGCGAATATCATTGGGGAGAGCGTCAGACCATTGTGGTACGTTGACATCCGGAAGTGAGGCTTTCTACTGTCAATAAAGCTTGTCCACTACACTGATAGCTCGTGGGTGACAGGAGGTTTTTTGGAATCGTGCGACCTCTAGGAGTGTAGTGAAACAACGGAAAAGTTTAGATTCGGTTTAGCACCCATAGCCTGTAGTGGTGGTCGGAGTGTAACGGACGTTTTCTACCAATTGTTCGACGACAGCGCCAGCTAATGTTTCTGGGGTTATGCCTTTGATGGGTACAGCTCATGGGTCACACACGCTAATAGATAGGAGTATCCATCTGAATTTATTTAGAGTCCTAAGACATCGGGATGAACATAGTTGAAACGAGCATGCGGAGTTGTGAAAGAGCCTAAGGAATGCATGTTCTGTCCAATCGCTTTAAAATTTGGCACTTTACTTAGGAGTCTATCCATTCCCTCGTTTATTTATTATTCCCAGGACAATAATATCGTTCTTAGATGAGCTGGATGCTTACCTAAGAAACGTATTGAAAACGTTACGTCGATAATACTTCGACACGATTGGGCAATCATCGCTCGTAAATGTGTCACATGGCAAAGTTTCCTGATCCATTTCCACCTGTTCGATCAGTAGTTCGTGTTATTGAAGATAAATCTTGCTGATGTTCAGCGTCTTACTCTTGAAGCTGGACGAGTTTAAGAAGTTCAAAAACTTGGAAACTGTTGAAGGAGATTGCACTGGACAAGGCATCTGTCAGCACATTATGTGCCTCAGAAATCTGTTGTACCTTCAGTCAACTGCGAAACGTGGTTCAGGTGTCGAGACTCGCGAGGAGAGTACTTGTTGGAAGAGTCAAGAGAAAGCCTAATAGATTTATGATCGGGAAACAGAGCGTATTTTCGGCCTTTCACAGAGTGTTGAAAGTGTGGTACAGCACAACACATGGCTAGGAGTTCCCTGACAAAAGTTCCAACCATCGATCCAGTGTTTTGTAATCGTCTTCAGGAAAATGTGAAAAGTTGCCAGGTGTTGTTCACCTATTGTTGTAAGAATATTCCTATTGCCTAGTCAGATGTGTCCACAGCGTTACTAATAGATGCCTTGATGAAGTGCGTGGGAGCATCGTTGCTTTTGTGATAATTCCTTTAAATGTGAAGAATGTTTCCACATGCTTTCGTTCGAATCGATGAATTTCGCATTTCCACGAATATGATCTTTTAAGGGTCTCATGTTAGACGCACGAATTGGCGTGAACCGTTGACAAGAACTCAACTGGCCGACGAACACAGTTCCTTGACTGTGGCTGGTTTAGGATAATCCAGAATGGTCACCGCTTTGCTTTGCAGTAAGTGGATATCTTGGGCTTCATTAGCACGCCGGAAAATATCCATGACTTCAGTTGCAATCTGGATGCTCGGATCAATGTTATATTTTTTTGGGTCGTCCGAAAACAAGGTTCCGGTGCTTGTGCTGAGATTCTCAGTCCGGAATTGTGATCAGGTAGTCATCTATATATGCACGTACGAAGTTGAAACCTCTAAAGACGTCGTCGACGAATCTCTGGAAAGTTTTTGTAGCACATATTTGAGCGGAAGGCATGCGCGAAAATTCGTGAGCCGAAGAAAGTGACGATAACGGTTCTAAATGCAGTGTATGAAGCCATAGGAGTACGGTTATATGGTCCAACTAGATCAACTTTCGGAAAAACAGCTGTGCCTTTAAAGATAGCTATCAAATCTTTAATTGGGAGTGAACAGAAACTATGTGGAATGGTTTTCGTATTCAGTGAAAAATATTCACTAATTGGTCAACAATGATTGCTGTCCATTTAGGGGCCATATAGAATAGAGACACCCTTGGGCTGTTCAATGGCCGAATAATTCTTGCGTTTATTATGTGGTGAAATTTCTTAATGGCCTACTTTACCTTTTCGAGAGATATTCAGCGTTTCTTCAAAAATGCGGGTAGTCCTGTTGTGGTGATGTGATTCGTAAGATTGCAGGTTACGCGCAGCGATTTTGGTCGTGCTTGGTATAGTTCGGGGTACCTATCCGGCATCCGTTGATAGAATGGGTCGACTTTGCGTTTACTAGTGACTGGAGATGTCCAACAGCCGGAAAATAAATTTCCAAAAACAGATAATTGCCGTATTGCTGTCTACTAACCTTCATTTTTACGTAATGGTGAGTAGATTATGATGTTGTAGTAGATCCATACCAATGGTTGACATAGAAACACTCGTAACAACAAAAAACCAATAAATGAGTTTGCGAAAAGACATGTTAAAATAAACATGTAGTTCACCGCATGTAGCAACGAACTTCCCGTTTGTTACCTTTGAGTTGATAACTGGTTCATGCAGGTGTTCGTTAAAAATTGCGGGAAGAGCTCCTACTGTTTCGTCAGTGTAGATGAAATAGCAAACTTACGTCACCACATCGGTGATATAAAGCAGACGGCAATGCTTGCGAGCTACGGTTGACATCAACATGTGCCGACTGGAAAATTTCTTGTTACATTTTTCATGTCGACGTTTTGGAGCCTGGAAAACTACAGAGCTTTGAGCATTTGAGTTCATATATTGTTTGGTCCACCACAATTCCTTCAAGTATACTAAGTAATTTTCAAAATATTCGAAATGAATATGAACATAAGCGGGTTTGTGATATTTGCATGAAAAGATTGAGAAAATCAATCAAATTTAAAGCATTCTACTTCGTTTCACGGCCGATAGAATTAAACCATTTGGACTGTTTGACCTTCAAGTGCTTAATAACCTGGCGCGAACACTGTAAGTGGGAACACCTTACTTGATGCAGATATGTTTAAGGCTAGTCAATTTTTAGAGTGTGTTGTACTAAGATTACGACACTATATTGTATAGCAGATTAAGTTTCCTCCTGAAAATTTTGTCATGGAGTTAGTACATATCTATCGTGAAGTGACCTTTGTAAATATTCTATAAAAGACCATATCATTTAACCTGTCAGTTTTCATCTCCTGAGCAGGCTAATTAAAATACAAATACTTAATTGACATCGGACACATCACTAAATATCTAAACATCCGGTCTCTAAAGCCTCTCTACTTACCGCAGTTACTGATTTTAGTACTAAGCCAGTTAATACCCAACGACAACTATGTACTCATTTATTCGGTTTATTTAGACGAACTCTATACTCGCTCAGCTTTTATTTATGGCTGATAACCCCAGTAAATAGGAAATATAGCTGATTTCTGAACCAACCAAAAGGTCGAAATCTGTAGTCGCTATATCTGACGAATCAGTACTTGGCAAAGTCAAACATTCATCTTCTGAACTCTGTGCCTCTTATCCACAGATATCACTACTCGATTTTTCGAGTGACATTCCGTCCATCTCTTTGTGCGTTTGGTCAACAGTAAGACCAATTTCGGGGGAGGCGCTATATAAACTTTTGTGGAAATGATACCAAAACCCCAAAATTTCCCTTTAACCTGGGTGAAGGTCATTTGACTTTGAGGATTTCCCCGAAATTTCCCAAACTTGGGAGATCGGGACCGGTTAATATAAAACATCTGGTACCAACATACACTGACATGTTAACACAGTGTACCCATCAGTATAATTTACTTAGGTCAAAAATAAAAACCTCACAAACTGCGGCGTCTAATATTCTGACACCAAAATACTGATTTCTATAGTGGCGATACAAGGCAGATAGGAAACTCACCTGCTGAAATTAACAATAATCTTAATCAGTTAGCATCCTCCACGCATATACGGGCTTTAAATAATAATAAAAACCCCAAACACTTCACTAAAACCGAATGAATCATTTGGTTCGTGGCTGACAAAGCAACGAAAAGAGTGGTGTCTTCCTACAATGTGGTCGCCTACAATGGCACTGACCGCACACCCCACCAAGCTAAGGAATATTAGCCCTCGAAAGTGCTGTGCTGAACTTCAGCTGCCAATTCGTTCGCTACAGAAAAAATTTGGATGAGTCAACATGCTCCCTTTTGTTTAAATTTAGCTGTTGTAACGATGCTAAACAGTTAATAAATTCGAGTAAAAATATTAGTTCGTTTATTCCATGTAAAACGTAAGAGCCACTCAGAGACAACACCCTTGTCAGCGTCATGTGAGAAGACGGAGAGCTGGGATCACATGATCGAGTTACAGCAAATAACCAACTAAAGACAACCTCTAATACTGTGAAGAGTATCAAACACGCCTATCATCAGCGTGATGTGAATACACAGACGATATGTTACTCTGAAGATTTAGATGAGTCTACAGATAAGAAAATTTCGAATAAGATAAGGAATCAAGAAAAAAAAACCAGAAAACATAGCGACATTTACGATTCTAGTATGGACTGTTCGACTAGTAAAGTGCTTAAATATAAGCCATATGATGAGACGTAAACCAAGTCGATTTTCAAAAAGACAGACGTACGTTTTAAGCTAGCTATGAGGTCGTGAATTAGTGGTAGGGAATTGTGATTAAGTGTCGTTCTCATTCTGATTCACCGATAATCACCAGTTGGATGCTAATCACTTGTCTTTTCAATGGACTATGTCCAAAGGTGATGCCTATGCACTGTTTGATGATAGGGTACTTAACAAGTCTACCAAATGCTCGAATTTGTTTATTGCAAATCTTAGCACTTTGGGAGCTAGTCTGTGCGCTTTCGAAAATCCAGGTGGTCCTGTAGTCGTGAAGTGGTATGTAACATTTACGATCACACACGGTAGTTCCAGTTGTGATTTGTAATGCTCAGGGTACCTATCGAGTGTCTGTTGAAAGTATAGGTTGAATGTTTATTCATGACAAAGCCCATCAGTAATGTATAGGAAACGACTAAATTCATCAGTCACAGCCGCTGTTATCGTGTGGCGGTTAAAATGTTTCCCGGAAGGTTTGGGGTTGACAAAACTGCAGAAATTCTCAGAATGTTTAGAGGATTTACCATAGGTGTTTTGGTGCACATGCACTCAGGATTATCTGTTCCTTGTGGTCTCGATGAGGACCTTTCTCGTTACGAGTTTGTTTGAGGATTTTCGGAGCATCCGCCTTCATGATTAACGTTGAGAAAACGATTAAGAGTTCTATAGAGATCCGTAATGTCATTTATTGTCGTTTGAGGCATTTCTTGGTCAGAAAAACCACGATGTTGGAAGTTATAGTGATCTCCATAAACGATCAGCAGATGCAGTCTGTCCATTTACGATGTTATTTTGGAATGAGATGACAGCCCCTTGAACCTGCTAGGAAAGCTTAGATAAGTTATCTAAAGAGGTCCTAGTCGAAAATTCATTACCCAATGACCTACCATATATGTAACAACATCCCTGTTATTGAGCTGTATTGCAATTCGATATGCGGCGGACCAATACAAATATGAGAATATCTTGACTTATTTAATGCTCCTAAACGTATACAAAGATGAGTTAATAGAACACAAAGAAGTTATACAAGATATATAAGAATTACTTGTTATTGTTAGAAGGGTGTGTTTACGCGTCCGTGACTGATATTGGTTAACAGTTGTTTTGAGTTTCATCTTAACCGTAGAAAAATGGCCTTTGCTCTGCCAACTCTTGCCGTTACATCTGCATCAACTTCTTGTTCATCGATGGTAATGCCTAGGTACATAAAAGTTTCTAATTCTTCGAGAGTTTCTCCATCAAGTGGGATCGGGTTTAGGGGAAAACAAAGAGTGTGTACACCTACGATATTGTAATTGGTTCTGATCCATGTCATGCAGTCTCCAACGATTGGTTACTATGGTCGCGCGGACCCCAACCAAGTCTGTATCTATCAACATGGCTCAGGCCAGAAGTTAGCGACCTTTAAGGACTGATGCTACTTTTTGGTTTGGCCGCTCCTAAGTTGTGACAAGAGTTGCAAGCAATAAATTATGTCTAATACCAATGCCTGAAAGAACCTAGTAAGCGGTAAATGCTTGTTATTTTTCAAAAGCACTAAAAACATCTCCGTAAACACTAGACACTCATTTATTCACTTACTATAATATATTATTTAATGGCAAATTGAGAAAATGGAACTCAATAAACACTAAACGATGGTTTGTTCATTGAATGTCTTCAAAGGTTGGATTGCAGTTTGATGTTAAAGTTGCGGATTAAATTATCTGGTTCCAATTCGATTTCCAGATTGTCTTAATTTAAGGCTTGTTTAGTTGCTGTTTGGTGTCTATTGCTTTTCTTACTGGATGTAAGTGCACTTTGTGTTCTATTTAGCATCCTCCCCTAGCACCTAAAATACCATCTGATTGTACGCAAACCGTTGCAGTTCTGTAACTCATTCGAAGCCTCCAGCTATCAACTTCTAGTTTCAACTATCAGCTTATTAATTCTAATGGTTATCGATTGCTTTCAATGTTAAGTGTAAGTGCATGCTATATACCTCCTGAGCTGTCGACTCACTTCTGTTGTTATTTTCTTTTCCAGATTCTCTGCTCCCCACCCACGCAGCTTACAAGGTACTTTCAGGTTAGACACAAACCTACGAAAGGCTGAATGTTTCAAGTCATATGCCTCAAGGTTTGTATTTATTCTATCTAGCTGATAACTCTATTTAAGAGAATCGTATTAAATTTTTTTGTCAAGAATGTGATCCGAACGTCAACAGGATATTAATTACAGTATATAAAGTACCATGCAGTGCAGAAATTATATTAAGGTATTTGGATTTGACAAATACTGACAAAAAGTAACATCATTTTTGTACACTTCGTTTGATTTACCGTTAATTTCGATATTTGATCCCGTCCCGGGTTTATCGACTTGAACAGTGGATCCTTGGATCTTGTAGAAGTATTGAAATCCAATTTAGACTGCAATATATCATTAAACAGAACCAACGTAATGTAGCATATTGGAGAGCTCCAATGGTTTGCAATTCAATCACTGAACAAATCTGTGCATGTGAAATTGTTTTTAAGGGTTTTTAAACGCTTTTGAGGTGTTCTTAAGTTTTAGGTTAGGGATAAGTAACAATTACTCAAAAAATATGTTTCGAATAATCGTATTTTGGCAAACAACTACTTGTTTAACATAAAATGTCTGTCAAGTAACTCGAACAAGTTAAATATTCTTTACGAAATTCGTAGCTCACCGAAGAGCCTGGCTTTTTTAAAATAATTCCTTCTAATGCCAGTGCTACCATTTAACTGTAAAAAATAACTGATGAGTAAACCCTCAAAATTAAATTGTGTACCTAGGACAGTAAGCCATATTTTACACCAATATATACAAGCACTTACAAACCATGGTAACTGAATATTTCGGTTTGCTTAAAGTCTCAATTTATAACATTCAATTTTCCTGTCCATGTGTTCTTTTTTGGTCTTATCTTCCCTTTCAGTCTAGAATGCCGATTTCTTAAACGACCTATGCTTCCTTATGATGTGTAAATATCAGTAATTCTTCGTATTCTTCCCTCATATTGAGTACCTCAAGAAACTACATACCTCTCATTTGGTTAAATAATATTTACACTTAGTAATTTTCAACTACTGTAACCACTTATCCAAAAATTTAGGATCAAATAAGGAAATAACATTGGTTTTTAGTTCTTATATTATACTATTCGACTCATTTAATCGCCTACTTTTATACCATTATAGTCTCTCGAGCTTTTCATGTTCTTTACATTGATTTTATGTACTTCAGATAACTCCTGCGGATATGCCGATCACATGCAAATTATATCCAACGCTGTTCAAGAATGGGATTCCGCATTTATTTCATTCACGAAGTCTTGCAAACACTTATATGAAAGTCGTAAAGAAAATAATCTGCTAGTTGATGTCCAACCATGTTTTTCGTTTCCGATTCTAAACGAACTCATTGAAACACGCTTAAGTATTTCCATGAAATTAGCTGTTGGCAAATACCAAGAAAAATCATTCGATGCCAGAGACAAATTTAATCATTCAACGGATCATCTATTTTCTGCTCTAAATTCATTTGCCGAGGCCGTTATAAACCATTACGTTCCAAACAGTCGCCTTTCTAAAGTTGTCTCAATTCAAAACATCCTGAATGTAATAAATTCCTTTAAAAATATGTTGGCTGATGAGTGCGATGCAATCAGATTATTCCACTTTAAACAAGTTTTTGATGATTCATTTGACACTAACGACAAGTGGACCAATTACTTTCTGTCTAGTAATTCTCTGAGTAAACGTACTTGGTGTAATGATTTTATTGTACAGTTAAATACCTTGCTAGATTTTTTGATATAAGGCTGTCGACCTAACTATAGGTTTTTATTTGGATGCAGATGTTAGTGGTGGTAAAGCCCTTGCACAAAAATAGCTATGGAATAAATAACAATACTTGATGTGTTCTTTGAATTAGTCTGTTCGAAGGATGATAAGATTTATATGTGATGTTTTTTAGTGCATCTTTAATCGTAAAATTCAGTGTGGCCTTCTGTCAGTGATCATGAACATAGGACGTAGTACAATTGTGCCTCGGTCCAAGAGGCCATCAGCATACTGAAAACTTACTAACATAAATAGCAAAAAAGATAAACGGTAAAAACACCAACGGTATCGAGAAGAATAAACACGGAGGGTATGGTTCGAAAAGAGACATGTCATGTAAAATCTTCAACTATTGGAACCCTATACTTTTTCGCATTCATAAAATGATCCGGATGTTTGCCAGTTAATCCAAAGTTAGAGGGATTAGAGTTTGTCAACAAATCATCCATTTGGTCTTTATGAGAGAAAATGCAGGGTAATCAATATGAGATGAATATTAAGTGAATTTGTTCAAAGCCACAGATTCTGTACACTATCGTCACTTATTAGACTTTCACTCACACTTCCAATGTAAGTACCAACCTATCCTGTCAGTTTTTCCCAATCGGTTAAAAATAACGTAGCACCAGCCATAGTATATCAGTACAGTGCAAAGAACGTAAAAAAAGTAGTATTACAGGATACCCGAAGGAGTAGCATTTACGCCTGTAAAAACCTAAACATAAAATGTGGTTTGAAAAGAAGTAAGGTTCAGACCTGTGACTCATTGTTTTAGGTCATTAGTGATATGGCTGTATTAATGGAAGCACGTAAGACGGGGTTGGGCTTAGCATGTTTTAGGTTAAGAGTATCTAAGCTATACGAAAACCACACGTCCATTGAGTGTTTCTTCAGCATTATATTTTTAAAAGCAGGGTAACTTTCATGTGGACATTAAGTTTGTTTGTATGAAGTGTTCTTATTTATGACATTTTGAATCTAGAGCATGATGATGCGTAAAAAGGAGGAATTTCGCTTTCATATATATATTTTTTTTCTGGCTAGCGTTTTTTTAGCGAGTTAGTTTTCTACGGGATGGAGACGCTAACCCCATGCCCAACCCTCCTCCTTTATCCGGGCTTGGGACCGGTAGTAGCCCCCGGAGGGACTCCAGGCGGAGTTCAGATCATCGCTTGGTGGTCGCCAAGATGAAATTGAAACTCAAGAAGCACTGGACAACGGGGCAGATAGTATCACAAAAGTTCAATACGGCCTTTCTCCAAGATACTAACAAACTCAACAAATATTCCTCAGCAACAAGTTCCAGGCCTTTCATGATCTACTCAATGGAGAAGGAACTACTGTGGAGAGCAACTGGAAGGGGATCAAAGAGGCAATCACTTCAACATGTCATGAGGTCCTGGGTCACAAGAAGCACCACCACAAGGAATGGATCACTGTTGGTACACTGGATAAGATTCTAGAAAGGAGGAACAAGAAGGCAGCGATCAATACCAGCCGTACAAGAGCAGAAAAAGCCAAGGCACAAGCTGAATACACGGAAATAAACAAACAAGTGAAGAGGAGCATCAGAACCGACAAACGTAAATATGTGGAAGATTTAGCAACGACGGCGGAAAAGGCTGCAAGAGAAGGAAACATGAGACAACTGTATGACACGACAAAGAAACTCTCTGGAAATCGCCGCAAACCAGAACGACCAGTGAAAAGCAAGGAAGGCAAGGTAATCACCAACATTGGAGAGCAACAAAACAGGTGGGTAGAACACTTCAAAGAACTTTTGAATCGACCAGCTCTGCTGAACCCACCCAACATCGAAGCAGCACCCACGGACCTCCCAATCAATGTTGGCCCACCAACAATTGAAGAAATCAGCATGGCCATCAGACAAATCAAGAGTGGCAAAGCAGCAGGACCGGACAACATTCCAGGAGAGGCACTAAAGGCAGACGTAGCCGTAACTGCAAGGATACTCCACATTCTCTTCAATAAGATTTAGGATGAGGAACAAGTACCAACAGACTGGAAAGAAGGACTTCTGATCAAAATACCGAAGAAAGGTGATCTCATCAAGTGTGATAACTACAGGGGCATCACTCTTCTCTCAATACCGGGAAAAGTCTTCAACAGGGTATTGTTAAACAGGATGAAGGACTGCGTAGACGCCCAACTTCGTGACCAACAGGCAGGATTCCGTAAGGATAGATCGTGTACAGACCAAATCGCAACTCTACGGATCATTGTGAAACAATCAATTGAATGGAATTCATCACTCTACATCAACTTCATTGACTACGAAAAGGCATTTGATAGCGTGGACAGAACAACACTATGGAAACTTCTTCGACACTACGGCGTGCCTCAGAAGATAGTCAATATTATACAGAACTCATATGATGGATTACACTGCAAAATCGTGCATGGAGGACAGTTGACAAAGTCGTTCAAAGTGAAGACCGGTGTTAGGCAAGGTTGCTTACTCTCACCCTTTCTCTTTCTCCTGGTGATCGGCTGGATCATGAAGACGTCAACATCTGAAGGAAAGCGCGGGATACAATGGACATCTAAGATGCAGTTGGATGATCTGGACTTCGCAGACGATCTGGCCCTTCTATCCCAAACGCAACAACAGATGCAGGAGAAGACAAACAGTGTGGCAGCAGCCTCAGCAGCAATAGGTCTCAATATACACAAAGGGAAAAGCAGGATTCTCCGATACAACACAGAATGCACCAATCCAGTAACAATTGACGGAGAGGATTTGGAAGATGTAAAAACCTTTACATATCTGGGAAGCATCATTGATGAACAGGGTGAATCTGATGCAGATGTGAAGGCGAGGATCGGCAAAGCAAGAGCAGCATATTTACAACTGAAGAACATCTGGAGCTCAAAGCAACTGTCAACCAACATCAAGGTCAGGATTTTCAATACAAATGTCAAGACAGTTCTACTGTATGGGGCAGAAACCTGGAGAACTACAAAAGCCATCATCCAGAAAATACAGGTGTTAATTAACAATTGTCTACGCAAAATACTTCAGATCCATTGGCCGGACACTATTAGCAACAACGTACTGTGGGAGAGAACAAACCAGATCCCAGTGCAGGAAGAAATCAGGAAGAAGCGCTGGAAGTGGATAGGACACACATTGAGGAAAGCACCCAACTGCGTCACAAGACAAGCCCTCACATGGAATCCTGAAGGTCAAAGGAAAAGAGGAAGACTAAAGAACACATTACGCCGAGAAATGGAGATAGACATGAGAAAAATGAACAAGAATTGGATGGAACTAGAAAAGAAGGCGGAGGACAGAGTGGGTTGGAGAATGCTGGTCAGCGGCCTATGCTCCATTGGGAGTAACAGGCGTAAGTAAGTAAGTAAGTAAGTATATATATATATATATATATATATATATATATATATAGGCGGTAAATATCTACCTACCGTTTATTAATAATTGAGTTTTCAAACAACTTCGCTTCATCCTAGTTATACCTGATGGATTACATCACATTTATTTAGCTTTAAGAGAGATTTCTCAGAAATTGCTGAACCCAATAAGGTTTGGATTCTTACTGTCTTGTTTGATCTCATTGTGACAAATAATAGTCGCACTATCGCTAAAAATAAATCATGATACTCTAAAGGTAAATTCATAAGTTAGTCACTGACTTCGCCTTACAACTCCTTTCATGAAATGAAGTTGTTTCCGTGCACTTGTTTCATTGTGCCAGGGGTCAAGTTAGTTGTTCGGTTTATTAATATTTGCTTGTTTAGGCATCAGTTTTTTCTTAAGACAATTAATTTAGTAAGTACATAATCTTAGTCTTAAAAATAGCATCAATTTGCCTACTTAATAATCGAACTTGTTCAGTCTACATCCATATTAAGACTTTGCAACTGAAGCCTAAAGCATCATATTCAAGCATGTACCTGATTGTTACGTTGCTGTCATAATGTACCAATTTGATAACTGTCCTGTAGATCCAGTTTACTATTTCAAGCATAAATCACTTTATATTATCCTGTGGTAAACCTATTAAAATGATTAGTCAATTGTCTTCTAACGGTTAAAAAAATAGAGAATTCATCTGTGATGTGTTTTATTATCATGTGGAAAGTACAACAGAAACAAATTATTTTGATGGTTTTGTCGTCTGATGTATTGTTTGTCTGTTCACGTTTTGTTTTGCGTAAGCTGCACTTCTTAAAATATAATTTGTTTGAGTCTCTGGCTTCTTAGATCGCTCTAAAAAAGAACATGTGGTAATCACGTTGAAAACATCTTGGTTAGTAGACAGTATGTACAAATATAAGACGTTGATTTTCATTGCCAAATAGGTTCGATAAAAAGTGTGGGCTAATTATTAGGCTGTTTCGCAATCTTATGACGCTGTAGGACTAAACAGATATAAACATTCAGTAAGATAGTTTGTGAAGATAATGTGAAACAGAAACGAGAGAAATCTTCAACTCAAACTTTCCGTATATCTCAATGTATTTTTCATCTGAGAACCGAAGCTCTTGACCCAGTTTATGTGTGGGATTTTGGAGTTATAATGCTGGGAATTAAAAAAAATTGGGTGTCTAGTCTAGTCTGGTTCTCAGTAATTCGGCAGATGGCAAAGTCAATTTGAAAACCTATATACTATCTAGAGACAAATTTGGGTAGCGTCATAACAAAATATAAAGAAAACGATATATTAAAATAGAAGAGTAATGGTGGGATAAAGAGTTGAGTTCTCTTAAGATTGTGGCTTGGAGTTATGGATCAGGCTCTGAAGTGTTTATGTAGTTACCATTCAGTGACGATTTCAGTTGAGTAAATCTTGTGGTTTGGCTAACTCACGCTATGGAAGCATAATTCACGGTCTCGAAGATGATTTTGCTAACCAGTTAAGTGGACATTTTGATTTACTGTTTTTATCCTTGTCTTGGAAACCGACATCTCTGCTAATGAGTTTGAAATAATATTTTTGATGCAGGGTCTTTTGGAATTTCTATTCTTCATAACTAGATGTTCCAAACCCGAAAACCCGGATAACTTACTGGTCAACAAAATTCCCTTAGTCTTTTATACGAAAACTAGGATAGTGTGCTCCCAAATGCACTGGTACGGCCGAGAGTGGAGAGAGTCCGCTCTCCCTCGAAATGCTCTCACATGGCCACTTGCATACAACCACTGCTACGGAAGTCCTATTCTCTGCCTTCTCGCATCACGGGTGTTGTTTACGAAATTGAGAGGACGAAAAGCGAATGTCCTGCGCTTTAACCGGGTTGGTGGACGTGGATAGTCCACCTAGGTGAGTTGGAAAACCCTGATTCCAAACCAATGGTGCACATGGGCTTCAGTATTCTAGAGGAACAAATGGTGTATGAACCAATTATTGATCACTGACTACCGTAGAACTGCATGATATTACTTTACTGCCTTGTGGATGAGACCTTTTGGTCAAAGTTTCGGGGTGTGACCGCCTAAGGAAACCACCTGCTTTGGTTTGGGCACTCGGGCAGTATCACAGCCCTCACACATATCGAATGAGATTTGTGTGGTGCATATGTATATGGTGCATCCTTGTACCAATATCTATGTATTAAAATAAATAAGGATAGTGTACTTATCTGTTAAAAAAGAGAAGCGTTTGATCAAACCCTGAATTTATAGTTAGCTCGTATGGAAAACCACTACACATACTATTCAATGCAAACGATATTTGATTGTGCATACACTGAACTGGGTTGGCCATGTTTGCACAATTGATTTATGGATTGGATTAAAGCTAATCAGTCGGAGACTGATTTGTGATGAACATTTATTGTAATCCATAAACCAAATAAAAGACACTAGAAAGATATCACATCATAATATTTAGAGGTAGATCTAATGGCTTTTACATTAGAACAAAGTCTTAAGTAAGCTGTCAGTAGAACTTGTTATGAAGCCAAGATAACCATTATTGAAAGAAACGAAATTCATAAGTAGCCAAATAACACGTAATCGATCGATTTACAACCAGTTGTGGTTATTGATTCACATTTGTTTACATCTGTTAGTTGAGATAGGCAATCTATTATCCTTTTTAATTACATTCTAACATTAAATTATTGACTAATTACTGTTAAGTACTATCAATTCAATTTACCTATTGGTCGGACTTTTAAGATAACGTACCACATTGTATATTTTGATGTTATTCTGATCAGTGTTTAGTGCAAAAAGAAGTCTCCGAATACAGTCCCTCATCTTTGTTTGCATCGAATTATATTGGTCTCATTTCATAACAAACATTCATAACACTAGCTGTATCAACATTGCACATAGAGAGGAGTAATGACAAAATGATCAAATAATGGTGGTTTAACATGCGTCTAAGTGGTTCAAAAAACAATGAATTCCAAACCGTCTAATTAGATCAGGTGCAGGTCACTCATCCTTCTCTTTCTAAATCTAATAATAACGGATCATTTCAGTGATTTAAGATCAGATTTTGTAACCTTTTGTATAGAAGTGATCTAGGGCAAATGGGAAGGTCTGTTAAAATCTAAACCACGGGAAAATTCGAGCTATGTATTCAAAGACATATCAGTGGAACTACCTTGATAACATCGATATAAATATAAAGAAACTTTCTGACTGAAGATTTTTTCTTTTGATCTACTTAACATAATATTTAAAAATAAATGTTTGAAACACTGAAGTTAGTGGATCTAACCATGTATGAGATCATAGGATCTCAATGCTAAAAGAAATAGTCGATACCTTTCAAAAGACTGTTTAAAGCAACTTCTACTTACTTATTGGTACATTAACTGTCTGACCAGGGATATTCAATCTTGGTAATCTAGATGAATGCGCAGCAGAACAGATACGAACTCTTTTCATTCTGGTCGGTTCTGGAAGAAATAGCGTAAAACAAAAAAAGATAAAACCACAGTCCTTTATATGACTGAAAAACTATGGTTTTGTAATGAAACATGGTAATCATGAACTGTATTGAGTGGATAATTTCAGTCTGCTAAAATATTTCATGTTCACCAAGGTTGTGTTGTTTATCTGATTTCTATATTTCGTACAAACAGGCGACAAAGTAAGGAAAAATCAAGTTGCTAATTCTATTAAAATCTAAATTAATTATAAATATGACTGAGTTGAACAGTGAGTTTAGTACTAAGGATTTCATCCAAACTTTTAGGTGTCACAGCGATTATGATTGACCAGTTATTGATTGCTTTGTGAGGTTTATTTTCATTTTTGGCAATTTATTTGTCAAATGACACGTAACTCTCAGTTAATATATTTTGACTGAATATTTTGTACCTTAATACTGGCCTTATGTTTTCATTATTTATTCAAAAGCTGAACTGGTCAGTGATTGTCTTTTGAAGTCTATTCTGTAGGAATTTCGGAGGCCATCCCATGAGTATAATAATTAAACTGCCAACTTACTTATTCCATTATTCAGATCAGCAATTTTAGATAAATCATATAACATTTCATATGAATGTCTTGCAATGGATAAGCATGAAAGTTCAACATTTGCCTATACCAATTCGTTCGATATTATTTGCTTTTACAAGCACCTGGTATTTATTCGACCATCCTAATTTCACTTTATCTATACTATATCTTTAAGCATAAAATTTTAATTACTTAATATGTTCATCTTATGAAGAAGGTTCCTTCAGGTGTTTTGGTGCTAGGAGTCGCTTAATTAACTTTTTCACATAGAAATAATCACTTTCAACAGTTGTGTTTCGTAAATAACAGAGATTTAAATGCAGTATCATTTTATTCAACAAAATTTGGCTGTTGATGAACTGGCTGTCAATAAATTGAGATATACCATCTTTATTGCGCCTCGGCTTTAGTTTACCTCTCTCTTCCAAAACTACATTATGGTACAGATAACTATTCACATTTGGTAATAGCCTTAGTAGGGTAGAAGAATATAAATTATACTAAATATAGTTTATAATTCTTTATATACAAAAGTATAAATACGATTTTTAATTGTATATTGTTTAATTTTTGACTCCTATGCTAAACACATTGTGTATGCTTAAGTTGACTATTATATTCGAAAATCTGAACTTTACAATTTTAAAAAATACTCAGCCTTTTTTAATAGTAATCAGAAATTATTTCCTAAGAAACCATTCAGGGTAAACGATATCTAATTGGTGTTGGCCTTTTAAGCTGTACAGTATAATGGATATTGCTTGGAAAAAGACTAGATGTTCAGGTAGGATGTTATCTCAGTCTTCTATTGTTAATAAAAGTTTCAAAAGTTCCTAATTTGCCGGATTGTCGGTCGAACTTGTCAGCTTCATCCTATCATAAAATACTTATCTAAGCACTGTTAAAATATTGGTTTAATTTCAAAAGAAATCCAACGTAGCTGGGAAACAAGGAAGAATATATGGATTTAAAATTCCCTAATTTGGTGGTTTCCATAAAGTTTAGCATTAAGTTTTATGGTAGGTAATTCTGGTAAACGTTCTAGCAGTTTGCATAAGTTCAAATAGTCAATGGCTACTTCTCATGATTAATAATGTATTGGTAACTGACTTTTTGTTTATAGACGAATATACATACCTCCATCTTGTTTGCTGAGTATAGGATGTTTTGGACAATCATGAACAGAATAAATATCATTGTTTGGAACTGGTATATTGGACCGTCGATGTCCTTGATGGATGGGACATTGGGTTGGTGACTGGGCCAGTTTTCTAGAAAGAAAAAAGAGTTGACAGATAAAACCACTAACAAAATCCAATGTCTCATATTGAGAATATTGAACAGTTTGACCAACCCGTTCAGTTACTACGTTTTTGACGTATGAAATGTAAGGTCGAAGGACATACCTGTTTGATGCTTTGGGATTTGTTACCTAGCCGAACTTTTTGGCAAACAGATGCGGTTGTTATTCGCAGTATTATGCCCTCGTTAACAGTTATAATGCATTTGCTAATATACTGTTTAGTAGTTAAAATAAATACTCGCAAATAAGATTCTTTGCAAAAATTTGGTGTATAATGGTTCCTCAAATAAGGCTTCATGATAAATATTTAAAAACCCAAACTCTAAAGTATTTGATAAACAGAAAAGTTATGAATATTTCAATTAAGAGAACCTGTTTCAGTGTACAAATATGAATGGATGTATGCTAGTAAGTTTGTAAACAGCATAGCTTATTCTAGTAACTGTCAGAAAGGTACTGTTTTTCAGTGGATACCATCAGTCTCCAACAAAACACTGACAAAGTGTAGATAGCCAAAATCATTATAATTATAAGTACAAATATTCTTTTAGGCTTTATTCTTTACTGCTTTTTCATATGCTTAAGCTGGTTAGTAAAATGACATTTATCACAAAAAGAAATGGATCTTATTTATTAATATCTAAAAATCTATACTGGATCGGTAAGTATGCGGCTAATCATTTAACTTAGCGCTATGTTTGTTTACAACACGTAAATTTTATACTTCATTCCGGTTTAAAGATAGCTTACTTCAGACAGTTAATCACGGAAAACTAATAATTCTACATCTGTTCTCTGCTTGTTTTGAAATTATCGTTAGTACAGATCTACATTACCTAAATGATTTAGACCCGAGACTTTCATGTTTGGCTGTTAACAAGATACATTTAAATCAATGAATTAGGTTTCTAACGATTCACATTTTGAATCGTACTTAAATATAGCTTCGTTATCCCTCACAGTCATCAGTAATCAATATAGAGATCACGATGCCCGTGAGTAGAACTGGATCTGAAATAAATAATCTCACTTTGTTAAATTTTATGAACGAATTTCTAAGTTATAAGTAAATGTCTTTTTAAGTTGTATAGTTAGATTGCTTAAGGAAAATGAAATTCTTTACGAAGATTAGTTTTTACCAACTGAGTGAATGATGATTTCAAAATCTGATTTATGGTCTATCTGATGATCGGTGCAAAACTTCTACTTTACAAAGTCGTTATAGGATTTAGTTAGTTTCATCGCCCATGTATAACTTGATTATCCCACAGGATAATCAAAAGGCATAACCTTGATAGAGTTTGGAAAACTAAATTTTTCGTTTCCAAGGGAGAAATTAAAAGCGATTTATAGTAAGACAATCAAGATAGATTTCCTAGGTCAATGAAAAATACATTTTTGTTTTTATAAAACCAATTCGAATTCCATTATTTAAACATTTTGAATAGAGAAGATTAAAATGATGCACATATTCATCAGTGGAGTTTGATACCTTTTTTAATTGTTGAATATTAACTAGCTTCTCGAACTCTATCTTGTAAAGCCATCCGATTTTATTGTTCTAAACCTGAAAGAAGTGATGTTACAATTTGATGTAATGTACTTATATGTTTAGTAAGTCTTGACGATATGATTTTCGCTTTCTGCTTGATATCCTTGAGATAAAATTTCAAACAAGTGTACATGGTTTATGCTCTGGTACGGCTGAGAGTGGGGGAAGTTCGTTCTCACTCTCGAAATGCTCTCACATGGCCACTTGCATACAACCACTGCTACGGAAGTCCTATTCTCTGCCTTCTCGCATCACGGGTGTTGTTTACGAAATTGAGAGGACGAAAAGCGAATGTCCTGCGCTTTAACCGGGTTGGTGGACGTGGATAGTCCACCTAGGTGAGTTGGAAAACCCTGATTCCAAACCAATGGTGCACATGGGCTTCAGTATTCTAGAGGAACAAATGGTGTATGAACCAATTATTGATCACTGACTACCGTAGAACTGCATGATATTGCTTTACTGCCTTGTGGATGAGACCTTTTGGTCAAAGTTTCGGGGTGTGACCGCCTAAGGAAACCACCTGCTTTGGTTTGGGCACTCGGGCAGCATCACAGCCCTTGCACAAATCAATGATAACTGCTACTGACCTCACTGTTATTGTGTGGCGCATATGTATTCGGTGCTTCCTTGTACCAATACTTATGTGTTTAAATAAACAAATCATGGTTTATTAATGATTTACAGAAATATATACATATATATAACCAAGCTGAACTAATTTTCAAATTACTTTTTTACATTTGCTAACTCTCGACTAAGTTCTTCTTGTTCTCTATTCATACGTTCTCTTTCTTCACGTAATACCGACTGAGATCTGGCTAAGATAAGATTCTGTGATCTGAATTTCATTCGAATAAATGCATAATAATGAATGAAATAATTAAATATTATCAAAACTATTTATAATGAACTATAATGTCATCGATGTTGTTATCAGTATTTAATTAGTAATTATCATTGAAGTATATATGTGATGATATAATTCCAATATTTATTTGATAAGATCAGTAGATTATCTATACTTTTTGAATGTTTCATGAAAAAATATTTTTAATAAATTCATGGTGCACATGGTCTCCAGTATCCTGAAGGAACAAATGGTGTATGAACCAATCGTTGGTCACCTGCTATCATGGGACTGCATCTCCTCACGATGCTCCACTTCCTTGTGGATCAGACCTTCAGGTCAAAGGCTCCGGGTGTGACCCCCTAAGAAAACCACCTGCTTTGGTTTGGGCACCGGGGCAGTATCACAGCCCACACACACAAATATGGTGTGGCGCATATATATTTGGTGCCCTCTTGTACCAATATTTATGTGTTCAAATAAATAAATAAATAAATAAATAAATAAATAATAAATTCATACTTAATTTTATTCTTTCCAAATATTGCTCATGGTGATTATATAATTTAAAACTGTAGTACTTGTTTATCAAACTTGAAATGTTAGCTTATCGGATATAACTTACAATATAATTAGAAGGTAATATCAGTTATCTCAGATAAAATAATTATTAATCAGTTTGGTTCAGTACAAAGAACTTTAAATAGTATACAGTTAACATTCGTTCAGTTATTAAGTCGCTTTGTAACTGATTATAGTAGACTATATTTAGTGTAGTATAATTTCAGACTACTAGTTTGATATCTATTGTTATTTATACATATGTTATGGTTCTTATTTCGATTAAATTCTTCCAATATATATGTAGATTTCACTATGAGAAATGTTGATTAGAATTATTTTAGCTTCCTATATTCTGCAATATTAGTTCATGAGCAACATAAAATAGCACACAGTCCCTACAAGATGTTGTTTAGTAGTGTACTAACTGTATGCATAAGTAACATTCTTCATCTGAGATCTAGTAAAACTGAATGCTTTAAATCATCTACAAAAATGTCCATCATGGAAACTGAAAATAATCTGTAAAAATCAAATGTGACAAACGATGGATAACTCCGCATACATTTAAAAAATTCTGTGATACAGAATCTGAAGCGCTTGCTTCATCATTAAGAATGACTTAATTTTGAAGTAAAACTTATTCATACGTTTCATTTTATTATCATTGGCAAAGGATTAACGCAAAAGTTACTTGCATTTAAGTTATTAAGAATCCTAAGAGTATTACAAGTGTTAAAGTGTATTACTGAAATAAGATCAAAAATTGATTTGATTTCTTATTTAAAATGATCTAAATTTTTATTGTCTCATTTAATGATGACCAGTTAAATCGAAAAAAAATATCATGTCATCGTATATGTAAACCCAATGCTTTTATAGCTGACACATGTTCATGGCCAATTGTGTACATTCTCATTTACTTTACGATATAGCCGACAACTAGTAAGCTTGGTAAAATATTTTGTGTATAAGTGTATGACTTTGTTAAATAAAATGGTTCAATTCTTGCTGACAAGTTATTCCATCTTTTGACATCCGTTCAGTGGAGCATTGTAACAATGATTCAATTTGTCGATAGTAGTCAATTGATCACACTATTCATATCAATTCAAGAGATAAATCAGTCAACACAATTCATAGAATATTTCCCTTTTTAAATAAACACATTAGATAAGCTCAGGATAGATTTACCTTCAGTCTATGGTTCCAGCTATACATATAGAATAATACTCAATACAAAATTGTTTTGTCTTATACTCTACTCTTTGAAATGCATTGCACTACTCGCAAATATAAATAGGAATGGGGATTTGTACAGATTTAGTCTTAGTATAGGTCTCCTCAGCCGTCCAGAGCTTCCGGTTTTTCAATGGTGATCTAACTTAGATCGACTCATGAATTCAATTATTAAAATATAAATAAGCTTAAGAACAATTATTTCGATTCATTCAAAAAACTTTCATTATATTCATCTAATGCAAACTTTTAAAGATCGTATTAATAATATACAGGCTTTATAATATACAAATACTCATTGACTATCTAGACTAAAAGATAAAGATGTTTTAACTTAAGCATATTTTATAATATTCACTTTATTAAAGAGATACCTTTTAAGTTCATCTACTTGTTGTTTCAATTTATTGTTCTGTTGTTGCATTAACTCATGGTCTTGATATAATGCTTGCTGAGATTGATTAAGAGTGTAATTATGAGATCTTGGGATGAGAAAATAAAAAAGAATGAAGTTTCTATGATATTCAAGAAGGAAAAACAATTAGTTTAATCCGTTTAGACAATTATAAGGTTTAACTTAATAATTTCAATGAAATAAAATTAACCAACGATCTGTTTTCGTTTGGTGAGCAGACAGTTGGAAAGAAAACAACAATAACTGATACGTTTCATTGAGATAATAAGACAGAATATTTATTAAATAAATTGATAGCGAATATTTTGCCGCCATTAAGTTAATTCAAGGAATGAACAAACATTTCATTGATCTTGTTAACAAATAATTAATCGAAAATTGTGATAATCATGAAGATCTTACTTTACGGTTATAATGTACATTTAAAGTTAATATGAACTTATCATCAATCATACTTCAAAACTTCTACCTAATGATTTGTACACTGAAGAGCTTGGTTAAAAAGTTAAAATATTCTGTTTGAATATTTAACTGTTAGATAATTTATTAAATATTGCAACTTTCTTATATGAAATTTCGTCTAGCAATGTAATCGAAGATATGTGTTTATTTCTATTTTGGACTCATCAGTTAGATGTACTTGCAGCTCAGAGTAGATATTCACTCTAGGATTTGAACTTGCTATCGTCAGCTTCAAGTACTAACGGATTATCAACTTATTTATTAAGTATAAATAGCTATTGACTTGTGCATCGAATATGGATTTTGATTTATGATGGTTTGAACTGATTGAATTCACTCAAAGTATCAACAACGGAATAATCCAAATGAATACGAATTAAATTATGTCTTATGTTCCTGAGAATAGTTGTTCAAATAAATTTAACTTATATTCAAAAAAATCTTAATAACAAGGTGTTGTGACTTGAACTTGAATCGATTTATGCCCCGTGCCAATTGTTGCATCCTTGACTGAAAGATTAGAGAGCAGTGTATTATCGACCGGACCAAAGACGCATGAAGCACGTAAGAACGACCTACAGTTCTGATTGGCCCTGCTTCCCTGTCTAGCCCAGCCAGTTGAGTCCAGAACACAAGTCACAGCCTCTGAGATATGAATCACTATATTCCAGCCATACTCTATTTATATACCAACCAACCAGACCACATCGTACCATAAAATGGAAAACAACATTTGTACAATATTTGACAAGTGAAGTAAATATCGACTAATAGGAAATGTCCATTTAACGTCCAAGGACACCATTAGACTTAACACGATAATTATTGGTATATTCCTCTGCATCCTTAACACATGGTAATCGTCCTAATGAATCATAAGAGATATTTTTTTTTACATATTTCTACTACACAAGACAAACATTATTTTTAAAAAATGATTGGTGAAAAAGGTCGAATACTAATTCTGTCGAAATGTAGTTTATCATTAGTACAGTCACGTTGAGCACAGCAAACACTTAGCTTATCTTATTATCCATAACTGACTGAACATCTATAAATGTTCAAAAAGATTTACTAGTCAATATACAGTTGCTAATAGTAGTAATTAGCAGGATGAATCGAACCATTCAGTTATATGTGATAGTCAACACTTAAACATTCAAATACGTTTCACTAATATTGTCGCTTTCACTTAAAATATTTAGGAACTCTGGTAAATAAATGAATATGATTTATAATAAAAGTAAACAAGTACTTGATAGTATCTCATTTTTCAAAACAGTGCTGATTAGCTGCTTCAGAACAATTCATAACTATATATTTATTTACATATATGGGATAAGAGATATTGGATACGTTTACCTAATAGATCATATAATAAGTAAAGTTTAACATATTTCCCACTATTAGGATAAGAATACATCACCCTACAAAATGTTTCTTTATAAAATAAATATCTTTTATCATAGATCAGATTCTTGGATAATAATGTTCATATAGATCAGTTTTTAAACTTGATAAGTCTCGTCGATTGGACGCTATATTTATTTCCTAAGCTATTCCGATGACCCGCACACTAGAACGACACAGCTACTTGAACACCAGAGAGAAGATGCAAGTACGAGAGCAAATACCTTACTCCAAGGTTCATTTTACTACAGAAAATATAGGGTTTTTATAATATATCTAAATGTCTTTGGGTCGCTGGAATATTCGGGAATGCTACTAAACATAGTAGCACTGTAGTAGCCAACCAATCAGAGCTTCCGCATATGACGTTTCGCTACCTTGATATTTCTGGCCAAAACTCGAAATGAACGCTGATTGGACGAAACACCTCTTAGTGTTTCTTGATGCTTGCTTGTCTTTTGCAAGCGATTTCTGTATCACCCCAACAAACTTAGTTATTGAGTGTATAGATTCAGTGAACGAAAAGTCTATTATCATAGTTATTAAAATTATTAACTAAACTATAGTAAAATTGAGATGATAAAAGTAAAACATCAATAACTAACTTACTTTAGAATTTCATTTTCTGCTCTATATTGATCTAAAAGAGCGTTTAATTTTGCATGCCATGTAAATGTCGATTCATTGACTTTTTCATCCGGACCTTCAATATATTGTTTTTCACGGTCTGTAACAAGATTTGTAATCTTAATTGAATGACTATATATATATCATTATAAATTGACTAGTAGATAATGTTCATTCTATTAAGTTTAGTTACAAATTCCTTAAAGTTGTATAGCAACAATTTGATAAAGATAATGAAAATGTTTGTAAAAAATGTTAGTGGAAGTGATCAAAGTTCGGGGAACTAAGAGATATCTATAGTTTGCTTGTTATCTATGGACTGTAAAACTAAAATTTTTCATAGAGAAAGTTCTAAACCAACTAGAATTAAGAATTATAACATCAGCACATAAAATAAGACATAGTGTAGGAAATAAATAAAATAGGAAATATTTTACATAGAACACTTAAACAGATATGACGCATTGCAAAACAAATGTTCTTTTTTGAATCGTATTTTTGAAGTCTAATAAACTTTTATCCATTTAGTTACTTAAAATAAAACTAAGTATCACTCTTTGATGAGAGTAAAGGATACCTGTGCCCCAGCTTATTGTCACGTTGTATTTCGATTAGCGTAAAGTAATTCCGAACGATTGAAAGACTTTTAATGACAGAAAAGGAACTATACAAACCACATTGATCGGATAACTGATAAACTACAATACGTTGACATAAGTAATTCACAAGCTAACACGTAGATGAAACTTTCATAAACGTTTTTACATTGCCAACGGAAGTCTTGCCAAGAAGATGTATTGATAAAAACTTGGGAGAATTGAATTTGAGTTTACATATTGACCAATTTAGTGATTATTATTTTCAGGATGGGGATTTATGGAGATTGTAGCGATTTAAAACGTTGAATTTGTTAGCCGATCCAAGCTAGACCACCATTGAAAACCTGGAAGCACTGAACGACCATTTCTTCCTACTGTGTGTCTCTTCAACCGAGTGCATCCACGATCCATGACGCGGGACTTGGATCCATAACCTTCGGTTCCGCGCTCCCAGATTTTCAACTGTGGTCTAGCTTAACTTGACTCATGAATTCAACTGTTAAAATTATTATTTTCAAGGTTGATCAAACCAAACAAATGTTATCTGAGTGCGGAATTATATGTTAGGTTATCCGTCTGGTTTTTAGTGTCCAACAGATGCACAATATCCAAACACTTTCGGGAAGCTTTCCGTTCATTTGGTGAGCAAATGTTGTATAAGAGTACAATTCTTACTGAAAATTTTATTTCAAATATCTGAAATTATACAAATCTGTCTTTTACGAACATACTAGTTTAGCTCATCCCACGCAGCATACAAATATCGTGTCAAATATTCACAACAGCCGCCCATTCAATTAACAGAAACTCCCGAACATGGCTGGCCTATTTAATATTAAAAATTGAATGGTCATCTCACACAAAATTTACAAAGAAATAATAGAACTAAAATTAAGAGAATATGCTTGTAACTCACTATTCAATGACTATAATATTAGCAAAAATTAATCTGTGTTATCAAAGTATCTCTAATTAATGAGAAAAATATTCATAGTTACATACTTATGTTAGTGTAGATAACACTTTAAATCTATCGATTGGAGAACAATGATTCTGACAGAACATAACAAAACTAATTTTATCAAAATTTACATTTCGTCAACTATATTACTATTTCACTTATATCAACCAGAAGTCCATACCAAGTCTGCAAATTCTAGTTCATTTGGTTATAGGATTCATATTTGTAACCAAATATATCAATCAGTTTTATTGTGACATTCAGTTATGATTGCCTAACAAAAGATGCTCACTGCTGAGGAGTCCCACAATAGGACGGAACGGCCGTCCATTGCTTCCAGGTTTTACATAGTGGTCTAGTTTCAAATGACTCATGATCTTAACCATTGAAATTACTATAATATCCACAAAACCCATCTGATATTAAAAGATCATTAGCTGATCAAAACCGGCTTAATCGATATTCAAAGTCGTTACTTTTCTTTTCAGAAATATATGAAATTACTCAATTTTAAGGGATCCCAGTTAGTAATAAAATTGTGTCACAACAAACATTTACGTGAAATGAATTATGCACCCCCTCCCCTTCAAAAAAAATAATAATTCTATTCGAATAGTTAAAATTATAGAGAACACACTTTTATCAGCCCAATTTTTGTATTCTTCTAACTGTGCACGTAAATTTTTATTCTCTTCCTTCAGTTCATTTATTTGTTCACGTAATTCATCTATAACCTAAACAAGAGTAATTTTATGCACATATTTTTCGCAAGAAAAATTAATTCAACACAATTCTTAAAAGAAATTATTTGTAATAATAAGAGGTTAGACGGTAATTTATGAAAGACCTTTGAGCAACGCTTAAATGACCCTGAGAATGTCCACTTACTCACTAGGACAAAATGAAGGTTATAAACCAGTGTAAGGAATTGGAATTATGATTTACATTAGATGGTTAGTGTTAGGAATTAAATTTAGCGTTTTTTATCACACATTGACATCAGCTGAAATGGCAAAACGTGTTTTAGCCAAATGTACGAATGATTTTCGTACCAAGATCTAAGACTCGTTATCTTATATCTGATTGGATCGTCCACAAATTATAGTCCTGCCGTGTTTGATGAAGGGAAGCGAAAAAAAAGGAAGGCCAAACAACACATTACGTCAGGAAATAGAAGCAGATATGAAAAGGATGAATAACAACTGGAAGGAGCTGGAAAGGATTGCCGAGGACAGAGTTAGATGGAGAATGCTGATGATAGTCCTATGCTTCTTCACGAGGAGTAACAGGCGTAAGTAAGTAAGTTAGTGTTTGATGGGTTAAGCGTTGATGCTAATCATAAAATGATTATGTTGTTGGATGATAAGTCAAAATATTTAGCTATATTTGGATATATCTTCTTTATAAAATTAAAATGAAGATCGAATCGAACTCATATATCATTAATTTTTAATCACATTCGATTATATCTGATCCATTTACAGTAAAAATATATTTCCAAGACTAAAAGTATTTGTCATCATTTGGAGTAATAGTAGGAAAATAATTTTATGTGTTATTCAATCAATTTCAATGCAGATACAATCACGTATATACGTCAGTCGGGAGTGTATCTTTATTGATGTGCATAAATGTAGACTAAGAAGATTATTTGTTATTTTGATTAGTGATAATGGTAGCAAATTCAGCAGTTTTAATGAACCTCTTGTACATTACTTGCAAATACTTTTAATTCTAAAATCTATGCAGTATTGAAAAAGATATCTAGCTTTATAGTAAAACACGCACCAGAAAAATCAAATTTAATTAAGTGACCTAGGATGGAACTGTACACAGGAAAAACAACATCAAATGGCACAGTTTTACATACAATACACTTCCAGTTTGAACATCATAACAGCATAACACTAAAAACTGCAAATCTTCACTATCGTTTTCTCTATTAGGTACCAACGACATTAACTATTGTAAACCTTTATTTCTTTCATGTAAAAACTGATCATGATAATTCAAATATAAGTATAAATCATTTATTTTAATATGGACCTACACGATAAAGATTGGTTATTTGCTTTTTATAACTTTTTGAATTTTTTACAAATAATTCGTTTTGTACCACTGGTGTAGCCTGTAAATGCAATAAATGAAGTCTTTGTAATGTGAAATATAACAGAAATATAAAGAAAACATTTGTTGAAACAACACAGTAAGATATAAGTTTCCTGTTCCACTTCAGCCACTAACATTATAGAACCGAGGATACATGTGGATTAGTTCAAATTGCTACACTATATCAGCACAGAAATATATCGTATTGGTATAAGCTTTAAAAGAATCAGTGTTCGTAGGAAACATTAGGCGTAAAAGATATGATTCAAGAAGAAAATATAGATTCCTGGATTTTAAAATATTTTGAAATAATCAAAAAACTTAGGATGTAAAGGAAGATAAAGTGGTAATGGTCCTGCTCCATTAAGAATATTTCTGAGGCATGTTACCATATGAAACAGAACGAGTGTATTGGCGAAAAATTACGGTCAAATTATTATATACTACCGAGTCAATCGGGACAAAAATAGCAACTTTTATTCTCTTTATGCGAAGTTCGAAATACACTGGCAGTTATCATCCATCTTTTGAACACCTGTGAGAAAAAAATACCTTCATTTTGAACTGTAGTTGTCTAGGATTGATAGGAAAATGTTTTTTGCTATCCCACAGGGAGAATGATATGGCACGACCTCTAAATCGCACAAATCGCTTACTCCACCTGATTAAGAATCTATCCTTTTTAATTATTTTTTTTCTAGTGAACTTACAACTGAACCATGTCTTTACTGACTTAAAAAATAATAGGCACTTTCATACTGTATAAATCCGTTGAAGAGTTCGGGATTTTCATGTAAACAGTTCTTAAATCATTGTCACATAATGCAATTTTGTCGATCTTTGAGACAATTTGAATAAAATAATTGAACACCATTAGAAAATCGCTTAGAACAATGTTTATCATTCATCAAAGTACTCAGAGAAATCATAATCTAATGAACGAATGAAATTTGTTGCGAAAACTGACTATAACATGAAAACCCTGAAAACGTTAGTAAGTACATGAAATAACCATTCAAATCTCACTACTGACAAATTCATGCATGGCTGATAAACTCAAATGAGTAATAAAGAGCATAAAAATTTTACATTCTGGTGTTTTTCACGATTTAGCAATATAGTATACCTTCAACGAATTTCATTTTAGAAGAAAATATCTAACCGACTAATCCTAATGTTTATTTACTTGGAAATTGTTATATTTCAATTATGAATGATAATTTTCTAAAAGTAATTCTTCTTTTGTAAATTTGATGCCCAAACTTTATACAAGAAGGTTAATCTTACACAAATTTCCATTAGTTTATTATTTTAGAAGATTTTGAACTCAAACTATCAATGCTCTTTTGTCTATATCACTATTATTTTAGTGTTATTGAATCTCAGTGTTATTGGATATTTGAAATCAATTTCATAATTATTTATCAAAGTGTTTCTAAGAGACAAAAGGAACCTTAATGAGTTTTAATGCTGACATTCGAAATGAAACGGTTCTGTTAAACAATAAAATTAATTTTTAGCATGAAATATAATTGAAAGTAAATACAGTTGATCATAGAAACGGAATTGGCTAGCGTAAAAACAACTTATTTTTACCAATATTTCATAATCTATGTACTTCAGTTCAATATGATCCATTCGTTTTCGGTTTTATTGCAATTGGTATCTAAGTAGACTTGAGAAATTTAAAGTTAGCTTTATTCCAGTTTAGTATATATATATATATATATATATATATATATATATATATATATATTACTCGTTAATTAGAATATAATTTCCTCAGTGTACTGATATCAGCTTCAGAGACACTGGAAACCACAAAGCACTTGACAGATATATTGTCTCAAGTTGAAATTATATTATCCCTGCAACCGTGCTTAGATACTTCATCTGACGTCAGTCTATAAGGAAAACTATGACTGGACTGGAACAGTCTGTGTAAATCAATCAAACGGGGGTTTATACACTTAACAACGACTAGCTCCTAGATAGATTCTTCGTGCTTTGGTAAGAAGTTGCTAACAGTGGAGTTTAACAATTTTAAAAGTAAGGGATTCACTTGTATGTGAGATTAGAAGGCTAATACGTTATATCATGAATTAACTAAAGTTGGAAAAGTAGACCATTGAGATCCAACACATCTGTCTAAAGACAAGGGGATAAGTTTGACTTTCGTAGGTTAGATCTGGCAAAATAACTGTCTATTACCATCAAGTTTTGACTAGTTTTTCAAGTGATTTGACTGTTTGACGAAAATCATTTTCAAACCCAAATAGTCTTCACAAACCTCGTCAACCAACAATCTAATTTGGTTATTTTTTGGATAACTCATGTTATATTACGTTTGTAATTGACTAAAAGTAACTGAGTAAATTCAACTAATAAATTGATTACACGTAATTTTTTTATTGTTATTATGCTTCACTCAGACAAAGTCTCTCAGAACAATACAATAAGAACTTGACAGAATTTTCAATTTACATGACTTAAGCAAATAAACTCTAGTCATCATGAAGTAAACATGACTTCAACTTGTAAATTTCAAACTCAATAAATTGAGTTAGAGTCAGTTATTGATATCAATGTGAAGGAGTTTTGTAGAGATTGTAGTAATTTCAGTAGTTGAGATTATGAGTCAATTGAAGCGAGATCATCATGGAAAACCTGGAAGCACTGTACGGCCGTTTCGTCCTACTGTTGGCCCCCTCGACAGTGCGAATCCACGACCCCGCCTCGCTGGATTCGAACCCAGAACCTATCAGTCTTGCGCGCGAGCGCTTAACCACTAGATCACTAAGCCGACATCCAACGGTGTTAGTGTCTAACTTCAACTAATCCACGAAATTGAGCGACACATCCACCATTGTCATCGGTGAGTTACTATCTCACAACAAACCCGGTTGAACTCCACTGATCACTGCTTCTCACTAGAACTCCAGGATATACCTCTGGAAGCCAGTCACTAATGAGCATATGTTGGTCTAGCTTCAATTGACTCATGATCTCAACTATTAATATCACTCTTCTAACTGAGTTACAAATAAACATATCGAAAAATTATATTTCGTTAGGTTTTCCAAAAATAAAAATTCTTTTAAGATTTCACTTTTCTAAACAGATTAGTTAGAACAATTTGAATCGAAGAGATGAAGTTACTACTTTTTTCGGATTATTTTGATCATATTTACAAATTGCTTTCATCGAAAGATAAGCACAAAGGAAAAAAGAAGCGAAAAACACAGATATTTACTTATCAATAACCTTAGACTTATTTAAGTACTATAGCTAATTGTTAGGGTCAATTAAAACTCAGTAGGCATCAATAAGTTACTAAAATACTTTGTTAACTTCTCAATATTTATCAGTTCATAAGATATCAGTGTTTCAAAAAATCAAAAATAAAGTCTCATTATATAACTTACTGTAATAGTAAATTGTGTATTACCAATTAAATCATTGATTATTTGTGTTAAATTATGGTCAACATATGGATGGTTTATAGGATAATGAATTCTTCTAGTTTCATCAAGTATAAAACGTTCTGAAAGTAGAAAATTAGTTGAACAGTGTTATATTCGGTCGTCGGTGATTGCTGTGCCGGAAAAACACTGATCACTTATACTCAGAACGAGGTATCTCGGCAATTCCCACGATGAGAAAGTAAGTATAAGTGAAGATTTATTAGCCTCAAAACACTATGATGATAATAATAATGAATGAATCACAATAGTCTAAAATAAACTCATTTATATATTGATCGTACACCCATTTTGGTTAATATTTATGATGAAATCACACATATAACAAGTCACAGGCTGAGCATAGTTCATGTCAACTGAATACAAGAATATCGTATATTATACAGAAGAAAATATCATCCTGGGAAAACAAATCAAATACTACACTGAATGATCCACACGTTGAATCAAAACGGATGTCATGTTGAATAAAACTCATAATGAGTAATTCAATCAAATATTGACTTTTCTTTCCATCATATCAAACAGATATGAAAGTAATTCCATTAAAATGTATTAAGAAATTTTTTTCTGAAACCATAATGATTTCAACTTTAGTTAAGTTAAATGAAAACTTTAGTTAAAGTATAGTTATTAAAATAAAAATCTTTCAAGTATAGTGAATACTTCTAACTGATACCCTATTTACAAGTAGATATTATTACTTTTACATTTTGAATCAATGAAAGTAATGTTTTTTGGTTAAGTGGTTAAACGCTCGCGCGCAAGACTGATAGGTCGTGGGTTCGAATCCCGCGAGTCGAGGTCGTGGATGCGCACTGCTGAGGAGTCCCACAATAGGACGAAACGGCCGTACAGTGCTTCCAGATCTTCCATGATGATCTTGCTTCAACTGACTCATGGTCTCAACTATTGAAGTGAATTAAAACTGAGACAATATTTAATTTAATTATATTTTAGAAATATGTAAATGATAAATAACAGCACTGAGTTATCTTTCGTGATTTTTATGTTTACTAAGCCATCAATCATTAAAAATCACCATGTTAGTTTTCTTAGAAATATTTTGATATGATTAATTACATTGTGGACTATACAAAAGGATGTATCTTTTTTTTATGCAGTAAAACCTTTTATCAGGAACACATTAGCTTTTCTTCATTCAGTCATTGTAACATTTATTATCATGTAAAGAACTGTTCTATTATAGAGCTAAGAGAAATAATTAGACCATAGAACAGCTAAATTCTAGTTGTACGTACCAACTCATCTTCATTAATTTTAAATTATATTAGTCTAAGGTTTTTCAACGCTTTCAGAATTTAGGAATGATTGTTTCGCGCTTACCAAGAATTATATGCTTCATTGTGATAATTCAACACATACGGTTTTATTAAGGATAAAAAACACTAGATACTTAGTAGAGGTCAGTTGTGTTGAATGTGGGAAAGATACTCATCGAAGATAATTTACGATGGTCACGCAATATCGTGTGCCGATTGCAGTTAAATGTGAGTACCACTGCGTCCCGTTTTAGTGGTCTAAACGTTAAACTTTCGCGCGTAAGACGGAAGGTCCTGATTTCGATTACTGATTGTACGGTCGTGGATATGCACTTCTGAAGACTCTCATACTATAACGAAATAGCCGTCCAGTGCTCTAATTTTTCAATGGTTACCCAATTTAGATCAATTCATTATTTCAACGAAAACCAACAACCTTCACAAGCACATACTGGAATATATTCTATTGGTGAGTATTAGAATATATATGCAACTAAATGGCTATTCAACTATTGGGATTTTTAAACCGCTAGTAACTGATTATCAATAAATATCAAAATGAATATGCAGTATATTTATTACATAACAATTACATTTTTATAAAACACTGTTAACTCATGAATACCTTTAGTACATCTTTTTATTACTAGTATTTAATTTACACATACCTAAATCATAAGCAGCATCAAGAATTTGATCAGTAATTTGTACTTTATTCACCGGAATTTCACGATGGTTCCTCATGTTTAAAAGATCTGAATAGATAGATGATGTTACAGTGAAAAAGGGAAAATATATATATGGGAATCTTAAATATAAATAACATTTTTTCAAAAGCAGACCAATTGTGAATTCACTTAGATGATAGAAAATCGAATCCGTTCTATCAAAACCAGTTGTCGTGATTAGGTCAGTGTATAATATATAAGTATAGTGAACATTATCAAGATTATCAAAAGTATGGTTCTTCATGATAATAAACACGAAAGAAGAGTTTTGAAATTTGAAATGTTTACCAAAGGGATGTTTCTCATTGTCTCTATCATCGTTTAACGACCATATATCGGAAAACAAGTGAAATCTATTATAAATTTTTTTACGGCACAAAATTTGAATCAAAGTTTATCAGGGTCACGCTCAAATATTTTTAGGATGTACTATATAAAGAATAAAATAGATCCAAAAATAGGACAAAATCACAATTTTTCCGAAATTTTTAGTTAATAGGTTATTAATAAGTGAGAGCTACTTCATAACAGACTAGACATGTTAGTTCTGTGTTAAATTTGTCAAAATGTGATCATAGATGACATTGAGTATTTAATTAGCACTAGAAAAAGAGTAAGTGCCGTTAACAATGTTCGGCTTGGTAATTACGGATAAATTGAAGATTAGATGGATTGTTATTAAAAGAAATTATATACATATAATATTATTTCTATTATCAGAAAAACAGTATGTTTTTTACGGTTTTCTCTGCTACTGAAATATTTCATAATCGACGGTCTTTGAAAGAGTACACCCTCACATAAGACAAAGAAAGTCAATTACAGGAGTTACACAGAAGAAAATATCCAAAGTCTGAAAAACATGTTTTCCACAACTAACTAGGGATGATTTACAGATGACTCGTTGGAAAACACCGTTGATGTTATCATTAGTTATTATAAATTCTGTTTTGATATTTATTGTCTCACTGAGATCATTTTAATCGACATACATTTCCACAACTAAACCGATTACGGAGGGTGAAAGAAATAATGTACAAGGGGAAAAACTCCTTTGAAGTTCGAAAGTTAAATGGTGTATTAAACATAGAAAGTAGACGTCTGAAGTTAATGTTTACTCATAAGCTCCTATCTTGTACAAACTTTTCAAGTATGTGGAAGCTATTTAAAGAGCTTACAGGTGAGAGACATAGTAAAAGCGATAACCATCTGAATATGACTTAAATAAGTCTTTTGTACATCAGTCATCCGATATCGTGCTTCCTTTATCCACAAGTTTGAAGAGTAGTTGTTTATCTCATTCCAGTTTCCAGGCAGACAAATTTATTCATTCTTTTTGAGTAACATTTCTACCTTGGTGCTTATTCGTTTATTAACCCTGACTGTTTTTATAAGACAGTGGATAAAGCTGCAAGAGAAAGAAATATCAGACAACTGAATGATACGATGAAGAAGCTGGCAGGAAAATATAGTAAGCTAGAGAGACCGATTAAAGACAAAGAAGGCAAGCCAATCAATGAAATTCAAGAACAGAGGAAAAGATGCCAATAAGAATGTAATATTTAGAATCATAGCAAAAACTTTACTATTTCTTGAAACAACGGAAAAACTATTACTACTCTCACTTCAACCGGCCATAAAAGAGAACATTTATCCGTGTAGTTTGCTTACAAATGAAAAAGAAGCACCTTTGATACTGCTATTTTTCTGCATAATAATATAATGTTTAGCTTAGAAAAGTGTAAGAAGTATTTTCGGTGAGCTTTATTAGATTATACTTCTGCTTTTGATCTTATTCCAAGAAAAATTTTACTTATCAAGTTAATCAGCGGCATCATCGACAGCTGAATAACCAATTGGCTATGTTCCTACCTCACTGGAAGAGATGAGTACACTGTGCTTGGAGGGAAATTGTGTGACATCTCTACTGTCTCATGAAGATGTACCACAAACGGCTGTCCTTCCCCCTATTCTCTTCTCTTTTTTTCTGCATGAACTGCCATCTTCCACAGAAAACACTTTTGTTAAGTATGTGGACGATCTTACTGTATGTATGCCGAGTTTTGCCTCATTACATCCCCTTGAAATGAATGAGTTCTTGTCTCGTATTGAATGGTGGTCTGTTGTTAATGGTCTCACAATTAACCTGTCTAAATGTCAAACTTTTAACTTTAACCTGGTACATGTGCAGCACCTTAACACCCTGTTGCAATACCAGGAAGCTTGTACTAACGGATATTCTTTGATAAACACAATTTCGAATGTCAATTAACTTGGTGTAATTTTTTTCCGTCTGACGTACTACATAAACTGGCTACATGCTTTTAGGATTACTCAACGTTTACTCTTACAAGTTGTTAATTCTCGAATATTACTTATTATTTTTTACTGTTCTCCATTATTCTTCCCTGGGCTTTTAAGAGAAGACTTTGTTGTATTGTGGAGAGCTCTGAAGGTAGTTAACAGGGTATGTAAGAAATCTTTTGAGGTTATTATTAGTATGGTTGTGGATAGATATCTAAAATCTTGCACACTCCTAACAGGTGTTATTTTATTACATAAGAACCATACACTTCATTCATACTTTTCTCCTTGTATATCTTCCAGTAGAACGGAACGTCAATATAGTATAATTCATGCAATCAAGCAGGTCTTTAGAGTCGACCAAGTCAGCAACTTGTATTCTTAAACATGTTCCAAGTAGTTTATCTACATTATTTATGTCGATGTATATGCAGTTATTGATCTTATTCCCTTTTTTTCTTTTTTATTTATTTTTTTCGTAAAAAGACTTGTTAAAATACTCAGTGCTGACAACTGTATATTGTTCCAAAAAATATAATACTAAATAAAGGTATTAGTAATAATAATAATATATGGTTAATCGATTCAAATCATGTGTGACACAATACATTTTAGTACTTATACAAACTGTTGTATCTAATGTTGCATGAAGTTAAACTAACTTTCTCCTCTATATTATTTAGAATCTTATGTTATACAATGTAATCTCAAGAGTAAGCATTACTGAAGGTCCGACATTAGAACAAATCAAGTTCTCAAGGTCTCCTAGTTTTTAATCATTCCTAAAGTGTTTTCATTTTGTAGTGTAAATAATCTTCCGTTAATTGTTTCGTTTCGTTAAGTCATATAAACCAGTATCATGTGATTTGTGACATTGAGTAAAAAAGATTGTAATTAAATAAACACATAAAAGTACCCGCTTTAGGTTCATTTCTATTTACGACAAATAATAAATTCTGTCAAAATTGTGACTATTTCAATACTAACGATTATGAAATTGAAGTAATCATCTTACCATAAATGAAGCATCTGTCAGACTACCATTATTCTGACTTATGAATTACTATATATTATTTATATCTGATATGTTTGGGTAGAAAGCAAGGACATTTCTAATTTAAAGAAGAGTACATTTTAATATTTTATCTATCTATCTATCTATCTATCTATCTATCTATCTATCTATCTATCTATCTATCTATCTATCTATCTATCTATCTATCTATCTATCTATCTATCTATCTATCTATCTATCTATCTATCTATCTATCTATCTATCTATCTATCTATCTATCTATCTATCTATCTATCTATCTATCTATCTATCTATCTATCTATCTATCTATCTATCTATCTATCTATCTATCTATCTATCTATCTATCTATCTATCTATCTATCTATCTATCTATCTATCTATCTATCTATCTATCTATCTATCTATCTATCTATCTATCTATCTATCTATCTATCTATCTATCTATCTATCTATCTATCTATCTATCTATCTATCTATCTATCTATCTATCTATCTATCTATCTATCTATCTATCTATCTATCTATCTATCTATCTATCTATCTATCTATCTATCTATCTATCTATCTATCTATCTATCTATCTATCTATCTATCTATCTATCTACCTATATATATATATATCCTAATACTTACCTTTAGGATTAAAGGCATTTATTTTTCCACTTTGTATAAATATATCTGTGTATTTATCTTGTTCTTGATCTAGTTAGAAATAATAAAGTATAAAACAAAATGATAGAATTATTAAAATTAATCAATAAAGCATAAACGTAAAATCATGAAACACTATAATATTATTTTGCGGATATACTAAGCACTGAAAGTTCGACTAAAACATAAAGCAATTTTAATAAAGGCATTTTTCCAGTAAATTCTCTTTTTTACATTTATGGTCAAAATCTAATGATCACTGATTACTTTTATGGTTATTTTTAAAAAAAATAGAAATCATACCTTACTGTTGGTGCTAGGTTATGACAATAAAAAGTTTAATTCTAAGAGTTTACCGAAAAACTCAGGTCAAAAATACACCAGAATTATTGTCATAGTTTGTCACAATTTGTTCTTATGAAAAAATTGATTCTATAAAGCATTAATATTACTTCTAAAAACTGGATATTTATTGATATGTGAAGAAATATTCATTATTGTTTTCATGACTCATTAATCTAAGTATATCATATTTATTCCCATGTCTGAAAGGTTTATGTTCAATTTCATATGTTACTATGGCTGCGTACTGATTAGGAGTTTGAAATCATGACAAAATAATTACCCATTTTTGTTCTTTCAGATTGTCACTTTGTGTTAAAAAATAATCAACAAAGCTTTAATTTTTGGTGGCTCGTACATTAAAGTGATTGTTGTTACTTATACAGAATTCTATATGCAATATAAGAGGGTTTTTCAAATCACTACACTTAGGCTTGAAGTAATCGTGTCTTTATTTATTCGTTTCTAAGTTGAATTGAAATTGATTTATCTGAAATGCCAAACTACAAATACCCTTCTATGTAAACAGCGATAACCTATCATACTTTTGCTAATTTTGAGAAACAAATATTGTTACGACTTGATGACCTTCATTAATATCACCCGACAAAAACAACAAAACAACAATTTGTTTCAGCACTAATAACTTTAAGTTAACGTTAAGCTCTTATTGGTCATCGATTCGGCAGCTTCTTTCCCTGTTTTTCCCGTTGAGTTAATGTATCAGTAACCAGAATCTACTGTACGAGTACTATATATATATATATATATATATATATATATATATATATATATATATATATATATATATATATATATATATATATATTAAAATAAAGAAATAAATGTTAATTTTTTCTATTGTTTTGACCTGAAAATATTCTCAAGTACAAGGAAACAATAGTCTGTAGACAATTCAATAGAATTATTATGGTTATTAAATCGATGTCCGACCAAATTTTTTTATTAGCGTCGAGTTATACATACCCATATCTAGATCCCAACGTTTCATGTCGTTTTATCTGGCGAGAAGCAATAACAATGTCTTTTTCATAAATATTTCAAGTCCCTATTGAGACTTCATTATGACATAACGTTTATGAGCCAAAAAACAACATTTTCAGATTATATGATCTTTTCATTTACATTTGTTCTTTTAAAAAAAAAGATAAAATATCGTACGGCTTAAAGTTTGTCATTTTTTTTCCTTTAAAATGTGATGGGTTTAGAGTGGATTACACAACGCTATTGTGTGATAAATGGTTTTTGATTGAATGGAGCAGTCTGCGTTCAACCATTTAAAACTTGGTAATAAATCACTAAACACAAATTAATTAATTATTTAATTTTACTTAGCTAATACCTAAATCGATTTTAAAATGAGAACGTAACCGCAATAATTTGCCTGAATGATAATATGCTGATTAATAGAATGTGCTTAAAAGAAATGGATTCCTTGAAATGGTCATTGAAAGCTATGATCTTTTGGTTTGAGTGCTTTTGAGGAGATGACAAACGGGAGTCAGTATAAATGATATGTTATATCGAGAGTTATTGAATTCAAATTTTATATACGGTATAGTTTGGTCCAGTGGATTAAAATTTTAAACACTGTAATCATCATATAAATGTTTAATAACAATGAGCTTTTTTTTTAGAGGTTTGAATAGTTCACTGTTATTTGCTCATCAATACATTTTATATTTAAGCTTATAGTTAAAACCGTCATGAGATTGAAATTCACATAAATGTTCGAAGTAATACTTTTTTTAAAAATTAATGGAACTCAATGAACTTACTCAAATACGGATGAAATATAAATGGTCCAATTAATTTATTGGAATTAAATGTTAAATAAAATATACAACTATCCGATGTATTCTGATAAGTTAAAATATCTTTTATATCTGCATAATTATGTGAAGGCATGATAGATCTCTTCTTTACATAATTTTGTTCTTTGATGACAAAATTATGTTTACTTAGATTTTCACTGCTGCGATCAATATCATCAACATCTTCAATTTCATCGTCATAGTCATACTCCTTTTCGTCATCAATATAATGAACTATATCTTCGTCACAATCAGTCTTCCTTAAATGTTTACGTCTTGTTCGACGTCGATTTTGATTTTTAGAATTATAAGCTCGTTGTTGTTGTTGTTGTTGTTGTAAATATTTTGGAACAAACTTTTTCATATTTCTTCTTGGAGAATAATCATAATCAGTTGAAAATATTCTTTCATGAGGTGATTGAAACAATGTGAAAATATTATCACTTTTATATTTTTTAATTTTACTAAGGTGATTTATTTGTGGTTCATCAGTGTCAGTCAATTTCGGTACTAACATGTACGTATCAATTACAACTATAAAGTATGAACAAATGCAAAATAAATATGATACGTTTCAAATAATATATCCTTGATTATTTTTTGTTTCTATTTTATGAAAATCAAATCTTTCACATTCTTTTCTTTGTATAATTTAAAACAAATTAAGGTCATCTATATTGACAACTCGATTTTCATTGGTTCGTACAAAGTCAACAGTTGTTTGTTTATGAAAGGACAAATGTCAAATTTAGTAGTTTTAAAGTTAACATAAATATTAGAGTATTGGAACGTTATCAAAAAAAAGAATATGGAAAGGAATAAAAGGAAATTGATAACAAAGCTAAATTATTTCTATGCAAGAATTTATATTATTTGATCCAATGATAATAAATAACCTTGGCATTCAAATAAAATTGAAACATGATTATTCTCGGTTTGTTTTGTCCTCATTATGGAATTTCAAACAGATCAGTAATCCAATTTTTATATTACTCAAAAAAAGTATTGAATATCTATGATAAGTCTCGCGGATTTGAACGCTATATTCGTTTCCTAAGCTATTCTGTAACCCCCAAACTGGAACTAAACACGAGAGAGAAGACTCAAAGTATGCGAGAAGTAGTTTATTCCAAGGTTCATTTTAATACAGAAAATACAGGGTTTTTATAATATTTTAAATTTTCTTGAGTTGCTAGAAGATTCTGGAATGCTACTAAACATAGTAGCAGTTAAACAGACAACCAATCATAGCCTCTGCATGTGACGTTTCGCTTCCTTGATATTTTTGGCTAAGACTTCAAGTGAACGCCGATTGAATGAAACGTTTCTTACTGTTTCCTGATACTTGCTTGTCTTTTGCAAGCAATTTTCTGGATCACCCCAACAATTTAGTTTTAAAAAATAAATATTCTTTTATAACTTATGAAAGAGATGTTCTTTAAAGCTCATTATTGTCATAAAATCAAGCAGTTTGGTTTGAAGAATGCATTGGAGAATATGACAGACTAAAATTTCGAAAATGATTTGCAAATGCTATTTAATAAACAGGGTTATATGGTATTTTAACAGTTTATTCTCAGTCGGTTATAATCTAACAAATTTGATTTCCTTTTTAGGGTGAAAATATATGTGACAATTAATTTCAAGTTAACAAAAGAGCAAAGATCAAATAGCGTTTGACAACTATGTTAACAACTTCCTTCGCTTTGTGACTACCGATTTTGATTTTTGAAAAAATGTACTACAACTACAACTACATCAAACCAAGTCTGTCTACAAACAGCATCATGAACGAACACATTTTTACTTTGCAACATTGAATGACTGAGCCGACAACGATACTAAATTTTTTATTGAACACATTATCTATGATTTCGAAAAAAAAGTTCATTTTCTGATTTGATGAAATCTTATGAAGTGATGTGCAAACAAATGCTACTCAGTAATCTGTTTACTCACATGTATCAATCATCTGGAAACCGACTATGACCCCTTTCAGTTTATTAAACTGACATGTGAAATAAAAATAATTTCAGCTGAATAAACTGAAACGACAACTCTATATGTTGTAAGTACTAAATTAAAGTAGTGATGTGGAATCCTAATTTGTACGCAGAAACACAAAGCATTGATGTACATAATTTCATGTAAAAAAAGAAATACATGCATCTGAATGTAGTAGAATGAATACTTTATTTGTTGGTTGGAATACGATATTTGATTGAGCAAAAAACAATACGTACTTTAAATTCACTTGGTATTATTTGTTTGAAACTTCCCATTGACGTTTAGGACTGCAGTCGATCAGTCTATTATTGATATATGTGCATAATATGCGTATCACCTCGATACAGTCTTAATGGCTGTCCACCCTCTCCACTCTTGTTTAATTTTGTTGTTGACGTACTTTTAGAGATAACACTTCCCTCGTCTAAATTTCCAGGGGCTGAACTTCTACCGGGAGGTTCACTTGTTGACTTAGAATATGCTGATGATATAGTTTTATTTGGTGAAGACGCTGACAAAATGCAGTCTTCTGACCACTCTAAGCAACAATGCAAGCATGTTCGGGATGCGATTCTCCCTCTCGAAATGCAAAATGTTGCTTCAGGATTGGGCTGAATTGACACCCGAACTAGTGATAAGGAATGAAGTAATTGAGCGTGTCGATTGCTTCACTTATCTTGGAAGTCTCATCAGCCCTTGTGGTCTGGTGTGTGACGAAATCTCAGCACGGATACAGAAGGCTCGACTAGCTTTTACCAACTTGCGTCATTTATGGCGTAGGCGAGATATCCGTCTATCAAACAAAGGACGGATTTACTGCGCAGCAGTTCGTTCCGTCCTACTTTATGGCAGTGAAACATGGCCGGTAAGAGTAGAGGATATTCGTAGGTTACTAGTATTTGATCATAGGTGTCTTCCAAACATTGCTCTTATATCCTGGGACCATCGAGTAAGTAACACAGTTGTTAGGAAACGGGTAATAGGTAAGGATGGCAAATCAATTGATGACTTAGTGAAACTTCATCATTTGAGATGGCTGGGACACGTGTTACGTATGCCCAACGACCGACTGCCTCGACGTGCGATGTTCAGTGGTATAGGAGTAGGTTGGAAGAAAGCTAGGGGCGGCCAGACCAAAACATGGCACAAGTCCATGAAGTCACTGACAAGTGGACTGAGTCATGTTGGTAGGTGCAGACTACCTGGTTGGGGACCGCGAGATGATAACAACCGATGGTTAGAGACCCTGACTGACATGGCTCAAAATCGTTTGCAATGGCGCAGGTGCATCCATTCTTTGTGTTCTCTCAAATTCCAATCTTTTGAATTCTTTATGTCCCTTATTTTCTTTCAAAATTTATTTCACTGGATTATACTCCTTCAATAACATCTTCAAATCCTAATCTTTCCAATTCCTGCTTATACTCTTACCACCTCTACCACTATAGGATTTGAATTGACAACTGCATCTCTGTGCTAATGTGGTGTGGCAACTCGAACTGATGTACGTACGTACGAAGTTCTACGTTGTCACTGACTGACTGACTGACTGATATAGCCTTAATTCACAAGCATTATATGCAGAACTCAGTAGCTAAGTGGATAACGAGATGGCGTTTGAAGGGGAAGGTACTCAGTTCGAGTCTCAGAGTGAACATCAACTCTGAGGTGCATGTAAATCCAAATGACGAGTCCAAAATAGAAAAAAACGCGTGCCCTGTATCCCACTGCCAGCCACTATCCATCTCTGTATATAATGCTTGCGAATTAAAGCTATATCTAGGAAATACGCACAGTATGCCCAAATACTAATAAGAGACTGATCAATTACAGTCCTAAACGTCAATGGGAAGATTCAAACAAACAATACCAAGTTAATTTATACTTCACCAGATCGCACAAGCAAGTTGGCCATCAGGATTCAGTCTTAATAATTCAAATGCCTTACAAGTAAATCATTACGAAACTACTTCACTTGGCTACATATTCATCTATCTTTTTATTTATCTGTTAATCAGTTTACATTATTATATTCATTTTTACACGCTTAAGACACGCTGACCACTCGACACTTCGTACAGTTTAAAATTGACTTCATTTCAGTGCAGATTTATCCAGACTTACTGAGCTTATTTCTCCACAATATAATTGCTGGATATTCTGTTGCCTGTGTTTTTTCTATCCTTACAAAATTGCAGGTGATTATCAGTTTCAGTGTCAATACGAATCTATTCCTAGATGTTCGATTCTAATGTTACTCCAATACTAACATTTTTCGGTCCATTTGTGTCTAACCGATCCTGTTATTTACCAATTGTCGATTACTGGTGTAATTACTTGTTTGATCAACTAATTATGCTTCCTACACCTCGTGGTTTATAGGCCATCAACCAGGATTCTTCAGCCAACTTTGTTCTGGGCTTTTCTTCCTGGATGTTTTTAATTGCTCTTCATTCTCTTGGTGTTTGTATACAATTCCGGACGCGACGTGTTATATGGTATGCGCCCTTTACTTTTACCTGGAGGATTTCCTAATTAATGCTTATCTCTTGATGCAGTTTGGTGATTTCCGTAATGTCGGTCCTATCCACTTACAGCGTTTTGTCCTAATTTCCTTTTCAAATGGAAGATGGTTTGTTCTCTCAAATAGGATGTTGCAGATGGTATCCGGTCAACGGTCATTGAGTATCTTGAGTAGACAACTGTGTGGAAATACTAGTACATTTTTGATTATAGTTGTACTAGTTCTTCAGATTGAAACTCCAATTAGATAGTATGAATGATTGATCTCAAAATATACATATCGTGAATCCTCGTATATAATCATCCACATAAATCGCTTTGATGAATAACGGAATTAAATGAGTCAAATACGAGAATAGATTTTTAAATGAGTATATTTGGTACACTCATTGATTTGAACAGACAATCATAGAAACGAAGTGAAGAGAAGAGAGCAAAGCGAAATGATGCGTAGTACGGGCGTGTAAGCCAACTCAATTTAATAAAGCGTCAATTGATATTTATAATCAGATGAAAATACGCTACAGACATGTGATGAATAGAATAAGTAATGAACACATGTACGCCCACATAAAAACAGTCATGGTTGATGAGCGAATAATTAACAAGATCAAAATGTGACTAAAGGAGGATGAATAAATTGGCTTATCCAGAAGCTAGAAAAATGTGGACTCAACATAGTAACCGACAATACATCTGTACAGTAAAACAGTTTCGACGTTCAGTTTGAAGATTGTGACTTCGATATTGGTTAACACTTGTTTTGAGTTCTATATTTTCTTCAGCTGTAGGAATATGGCCCTTACTTTTCCAATTCTTGCCTTTACTTCTGCATTCTATCCTCCTTGTTCATCGATGATTCTGTTCAGGTACGTGGGAGTTTCCACCTCTTCTAGAACTTTTCCACTAAAAGTAACTGGATTGGTTGATGCTCTCTGTGTTGTATTTTAGGATTTTGGTTTTTCTCTTGTGTATGTTGAAGCCTGC